AAGGGGTGAAGGCCAAATATATATTTCACAGTATCATAATAGTATTAATTGTGTGTAGCTTTCAGAGCTGATTTTAATTATGTTATTTTATCTTTATTTTCTGTTGTGGAAAATTTCAGCCATAGCAAAAGCAGAGCAGGTAGTATAATGAATTCTATGGACTCATCACCCAGCTTTCATAGCTTGTTTCATCTATTGTTTCCCATTCGCCCCTACCCAACCTCTGATTATTTTGAAGCAGATTCCAGACATCATCACCTTTTCACAAATGTTTCAGTATCTATCTACAAAAGATATAACTTTTAAAAAGCATAATCATACTATATCACACCTAAAGATGACAGTTACCTAGTCATGTTTAATGAACTCTATGTCATCTATTCCTGGATTGCCTACAGACATCTGTAGTTCTTCTCTTGTCAGAAATTATTATTGAAGAACAATTCTTGGTGTACATTGCTCCCACGGTTCACCCCATTGTGACTTTACATTCCTAGGAATGATGTGTCATATCACAGCTATTTCAAGTACTTTCACAGTCATACCTTGTGGGTAGGAATTATAGTCCTAGGATTGATACAGAAAATCTTTTAGTTGGGGAAAATAAAGGAGAAACAGCCCTAATTATGTTTGAAAGCGGCCCTGGATATGGGCAGTAGAATCCCTGCTCTGAAGTTAGGGTAAGAAGACGAGGTTTGATAGCTACAAAGCTCTTAATTATAATTTTCGTCCTTCCATGGACTCACCAGTTTGCCTTGGAGCTTCATCTGAGTAGTGATTACCAGAAATTATTTTCTGCCAGAATATTGATCGGTATTTCTGATGCTGTTTAAGTTCTATATGTCCTTTTATGCTTTTGAAAACCAGAAAGTATCTGAGACAGGTCTCAACCAATTTAGAAGTTTATTTTGCCAACGTTCTCCAAAGATGATTTTGATGGCTTCAATATTTAAGGGGGAATGGGCGGATACTGGGGAAAGAGGAGGAAATTTTAAAAGGTATGGGTAGACAAGAGACAAACGGTTGCATTCTTGTGAGTCTTTGATCAGCCATTCGCCTGTGAGAGGGGAGCAGAGGAATAGTCACGTGTGCATTCATCTAGCTTAGTGAATCTGCATTTCTACATAAGATAAAATAAACAGTACAGGAAGCCATCAGATGTGCAGTTGTCTCAGGGGAGCAGAGGGATGACTTTGAGTTCTGTCCTTTGTCCTGTATGTGTAAAGAATAAGCTGTCAATTTACATTGTTGGGGTGAAATTCAACAGAACTGTTCCAGGGTAAAGATCTTGGGGCTCATAAGGAATTTCTAAGTGGGGAATTGTGAGGGAGGTATGTAGCTTTTTTTGTCTTTGTAGCTCTCTTATTCGGGAGCAAAATGGGAGGCAGGTTTGTGTGACGCAGTTCCCAGCTTGTCTTTTCCCTTTTGCTTAGTGATTTGGGGGTCCTGAGATTTACTTTCCTCTCACACTTTCCTCAGTAAAAGAGGAAGGCAGGCAAATTGGGCACAAATTTAGCCTAAGTCTGCCTCCTTACATATTAATATTTTAAGTTTGGCCTAAAAGTTTCCCCTTACAAGGTAAACTGCAGCCTAACTAGATGTGTAAATACACTATTCTTACACCAATCACAGATTTTCAGCAAGTCACAGGAAGTCAGCTGTTAACAAACTGTGTTTAAATAAAGCAAACATCAAGCTGTAAGCAATCCCGCTGTTTCTGTACCTCACTCTGTTTTCTGCATACCACTTTCCTTTTTCTGTCCATAAATATTATCAAACCATATGCCAGAGTTTCTCTGAACCTATTCTGGTTCTGGGAGCTGCCCAATTTGAGACTCGTTCTTTGTTCAATTAAACTGTTAAATTTAATTTATCTAGAGTCTTTCTTTTAACAGGCATCACTAATTTTTTTTCTTTATCATCTAGGTATTCTGTCATACTGTTTTTAAAACCTCCATAATTAGAAACATTGCTTTATTAATTTTCCTACCTTTTAAAAACTCTAGTGTCTTAAAATTTGAAGAGAAAAAAATTACTTGTTCAGGTCTGACAGCCATTTCTAAAACATATCTAACATACATGAATTACATAGGATTAGAGCCATTGAAGAATAGATTTTTTGTGGCCAGGTGCGGTGGCTCACACCTGTAATCCCAGCACTTTGGGAGGCCGAGGCGGGTGGATCACGAGGTCAGGAGATTGAGACCATCCTGGCTGATATGGTGAAACCCCGTCTCTACTAAAAATACAAAAAATTAGCCGGGCGTGGTGGCGGGCACCTGTAGTCCCAGCTACTTGGGAGGCTGAGGCAGGAGAATGGCGTGAACCCAGGAGCAGAGCTTGCAGTGGGCCGAGATCGTGCCACCGCACTCCAGCCTGGGCAAAAGAGCGAGACTCCGTCTTAAAAAAAAAAAAAAAAAAAGAATAGATTTTTTCTTTAGCTAGTGTTAAAAAATTATTCATGATGCTTATTAAAGGTGTTAAGGATTACTTTTTTCAAGGTGGGAGACTAGGTATAAGAAACACTGCAATGGGGTTTTGCAGTGGTGGGAGAGTGAATGGGGAATCAGTAGAGGGAAAGATTCTAAGAGGAAACATTGGTGTTATGAGGGATTCTCACCAGAAGGACACAACAGAACTCTTGCTGAAGGGAGGCCAGGGTGAAAAGACACTGGGAGTTGGAAGTGAGAACAGATACATATGGGTATGGGTCATTTTCGCTAACCTGACTTAGCAAGATTCTTGCTCAAATTGGATTATACAAAGACAGAGGGAAGGTTGACATTGGCCTAGTTGAGCAGAGGACTCAGAGGAGCCTGACTCAAGTTTGGGTCAAAAAAAGAGCATTTTTGTCACTAGGTAATAGTTTTAACTATTTTCCATACATAAACATTTTCCATACCTAAACAGTTTGTTTGTTTGAGATGGATTTTTGCTCGTCGCCCAAGCTGGAGTGCAGTGGCATGACCTGAGCCCACAGCAACTTCCGCCTCCAAGGTTCAAGCAATTCTCGTGCCTCAGCCTCCTGAGTAGCTGGAACTACAGGCATGTGTCACCATACCAGGCTAATTTTTGTATTTTTTTAGTAGAGACAGCATTTCACCATGTTGGCTAGGCTGGTCTCAAATGCCTGACCTCAACTGATCTGCCTGCCTTGGCCTCCCAAAAAGCTGGGATTACAGGCGTGAGCCACCCTGCCTGGCCTGTAAACAGTTTTTAGGTAATTAGTAGATAGTAAGACCACTCTTAACCAATTCGATACTGAACATAATTAGTTTTCCTTGATTACTTGAAACTACTTGTTTTTTAATGATATTAAACATTATTAAGTCTTGTGAAAATGTGAAATTAGAGCTTTCTGGGAACTCTAGATAAAGAGTTTCCAGTAATAATTAATGTTTAACAAAATTCAAAATTATGTGTGAGGCCTAGAATTAAGACTAGCTTGGGGCTGGACGTGGTGGCTCACGCCTGTAATCCCTACACTTTGGGAGGCCAAGGCAGGTGGATCGCTCGAGGTCAGAAGTTTGAGACCAGTCTGGCCAACATGGTGAAACCCCATTTCTATCAAAAATACAAAAATTAGCCAGGTGTGGTAGTGCGCACCTGTAATCCCAGCTACTCAGGAGGCAAAGATTGCAGTGAGCTGAGATCGTGCCACTGCACCTCAACCTGGGTGACAAAATGAGACTCTGTCTCAAAAAAAAAAAACCAAAAAAACTAACTTTGGATAGTTTTGAAAATAAGTAAAACTTCAGAAACAATCAGAAGGTAGGAAAACCTGCTTATATAGTTAAATTGTAATTGGTGAATATGTTAGTCATTTTATTGCCTTTTTGAATATGTATGGCAACCCTATTTATAGTAATTGGGTGTCTAAGTGAAAGTGTTAATATGTTTAAGGTTTGGAACATGTAGAAGCTGTTAGTGCCTTATTAAAGTCCTACACCAGCCCCTTAGCAACAAATGACTGTAACTTGAAGCTCGTTAATGTACAGTTGCACATTTTAAGAATCCAAGTTGACTGATAAATTATCTGATGTATCTAATTCAAATATTTGTGAGAGCTATTGCTGGGTGCAGTGGCTCAAGCTTGTAATCCCAGTACTTTGGGAGGCCAAGGCAGGTGGATCACTTGAGGTCAAGAATTCGAGACCAGCCAGGCCAACATGGTGAAACCCCATCTCTACTAAAAATACAAAAGTTAGCTGGACATGGTGGCACACACCTGTAGTCCCAGCTACTCAGGAGGCTGAGGCAGGAGAATCGCTGGAACCCGGGAGGCAGAGGTTGCAGTGAGCTGAGATTGTGCCACTGCACTCCAGCCTGAGCAACAGAATGAGACTCTGTCTCAAAAAAAAAAAAAAAAAAAGAGCTATTGATATTTTGCTTATCATAGACAGCAGTGTTTTTGCAGTAAGCCATTTTTAAATAGTGAATTTTTTGCTGTATCAGAATACAGTAGCATAGTAATTTTTACTCTTAACTCATAGTAAAGGTTTCTCTTATTTGGAATTCTCCTTTCCGTTAAATAGTTTATACCAGACTTTCTGAAAATGTTCTAGGAGGATTATATGGGTTCTTATTTACCGGTTATTTGAGAATTTCAAAATACTTTACATATTTGCTTTATATTCCCATAGCAGTTTAGATAGGGTGTGTTACCAAGATGGAAACTGGTTCTGCAGGACTAGTAACTTACGATGGCCAAACAATGAGTCATCAATAAATAGATTTTTGAACGAATCTTAAAAGTGTAATTTCTGCTGCTTTGTGCTATTACATTTTCAGAAAGTTTAACACTGAACGTATTTTATTTTTTAAAAAGTATGTAGAGTGTAGAGAATGCAAAGAATAATGCTTAGATGTTAGTTTTATCTGTTTCTTAAACTATTCTGAGCAGAAATACCAACCTTCCCAGTACATTATGTGTTTTCACTTATATACAGCCTTCTGTTGGAACTACTAAAGTTTTTAAAATGTTTTTTGTTCTCCCCTAGGTGTTGGATCCTGAACAAAACCATAACTTCACGGATCATTATCTAAATGTGGCCTTTGACCTTTCTCAAGTTCTTTTTATAGCTACCGCCAACACCACTGCCACCATTCCAGCTGCCTTGTTGGACAGAATGGAGATCATTCAGGTTCCAGGTACCTGACTCTTAAATGAAATCATTGTGATACATCTTGCCTTTCTGACCGTCACTTTAAAATTAGTTATGCTGTGGAGTTGTGACTGAAAGAGGTTCATTTGCCAGCATACAATCTTCAGAAGTTCTGAGGAATGTATATAAATCAGTTTCTATGTAGCTTCAAAGTCTGGAAGAGCAAAACAGCAAATGTTGACAACAACAATTTCAGATTTAATTTAGCATGAGTGATAATTTTGTGAAAAATAAGACATTCTTCCTTTAACATAATTTCTAAAATTGCAGGCCATGTGTGGTGGCTCACGCCTGTAATCCCAGCACTCTGGGAGGCCGAGGTGGGTGGATCACTTGAGGTCAGGGAATTCGAGACCAGCCTGGCCAATGTGGTGAAACCCCGTCTCTACTAAAAATACAAAAATTAGCCTGGCATGGTGGTGGGCGCCTATAGTCCCACCTACTCAGGAGGCTGAGGCAGGAGAATCCCTTGAACCTGAGAAGGGAAGGTTGCAGTGAGCCTTACGCCACTGCACTCCAGCCTGGGTGACAGAGTGAAACTCCATCTCAAAAAAAAAAAAAAAAAACTGAATGTTTTCATAAAATCTGGCCTCACTTTTATATTAAAATGCATGCCGCTTTTAAATTCCTCTTGAATCTATCAAATAGTTAAATTTTTTAACTGTCTTCTCCTTCACTGGAGTGTGCAAAATGTATTCCTTCGCTTACTAACGCTAGATAAATTATAGCACTTTCACCTTATTTTGATTGCTCAGAATTGTTTTTCCCTGGAGGAGATCAAATATCAGTGAGGTTTTTTTTTAATGTAGAGTAGAATCTAAATGTCTTTATTTATTTAATTATTTAGAGACAGAGTCTAGCTCTGTTGCCCAGGCGAATGCAGTGGCACAATTTTGGCTCACTGCAGCCTCTGCCGCCGAAGATCAAGTGAGTCTCGTGTGTCAGCCTCCCACGTAGCTGGGATTACAGGCACTTGCAACCACACCCAGGTGATTTTTGTATTTTTAGTAGAGACAGGATTTCGCCACGTTGGCCAGTCTGGCCTCGAACTCCTGGCCTCAAGTGATCTGCCTGCCTTGGCCTTCAAAATTGTTGGGATTACAGACGTGAACCACCATGTCCAGCCTAAATGTCTTTTATTTATTTTTTCTTTTTTTAAGACGGAGTCTCTGTCACCCAGACTGGAATGCAGGGGCACAATCTCGGCTCACTGCAACCTCTGCTTCCTGGTTCAGGTGATTCTCGTGCCTCAGCCTCCCAAGTTGTTGAGACTACGGGTGTGCACCATCATACCTGGCTAATTTTTGCATTTTTAGTAGGGATGGGGTTTCTCCATATTGGCCAAGCTGGTCTTGAACTCCTGACCTTAGGTGATTCACCTGCCTCAGCTTCCCAAAGTGCTGGGATTACAGGCGTGAACTGCCACACCTGGCCCTAAATGTCTTTAGATTCTAAATGTAATCTAAATGTATTTTTCTAATTAATCTGAAATATATTTTTACTACTAAGTGAGTTATAATTGGATTTCTGTTTTTTTTTTTTGTTTTTTTTTTTTTTTTGAGATGGAGTCTCGCTCTGTTGCCAGGCTGGAGTGCAGTGGCGCAGTCTCGGCTCACTGCAACCTCTACATCCCAGGTTCAAACAATTCTCTTGCCTCAGCCTCCTGAGTAGCTGACACTACAGGCGTGCACTACCACACCCAGCTAATTTTTGTATTTTTAGTAGAGACAGGGTTTCACCATGTTGGCCAGGATGGTCTGGATGTCTTGACTTCGTGATCCACCCGCCTTGGCCTCCCAATATAATTGAATTTCTTAATTATCTGTGAGCATTGCAGGTTCCTATATTTAATTTTAAAATATGGTAGAGTAAAAACTTAATTGTGTATTTAAAGTCTAAAGTAAATAAGTAATGAGACTCAATTCCCTGGAAACTCCAAGTTACAGCAGAAAACCCATTAGATACACTAAATTAAAGTGAAAGAATCAGGACAGCTGCTGCAGAGGGGAACATATGATGCCACCTTCTTCCTTTGGCAGATTTAGCTGTCCGATCTTCTAGCTTTCCTGGTGTTTACTAACCTCTTTCCATTCAAAAAGTGCCTTATCAATTCATATTTTTAATTTTTGCTTGTTAAATGGAAAGGGACGTTAGATGGAATTTTGTCTTACAGGATTTAGAGACAAAGAAAATCTATATTTATTCAGGCTATTAAATAAGAACATAAAGTCTTTTAAATATACTGTATATATAAAATACGTATATACATATATAAATACATATGCACACATATATAATTACATAGACACACACGTTTATATGTACGATCATGTGGAGGGAAAAGCCTTCTGTAGGGACATCTTAGGTTTTCTTTTGCTGCTACAATTTATTTTATAGTCATAGTTCTGGAAACAGTATCTTTAGAGCCCTTTTGGAACCCATTGCTTAGTTAATTGAGGGGTGTGTGTGTGTTTCAAGTATAGATCAAATTAGGCTAAAAAGAAGTATTTATTTTTCTATTTGAAATTTCAGAGGATTTGAGGATAAACAGATAATTGTCTCTAAGATTTGAGGTTTTTTCCTCTTTGGGAGATACATCATTTAATCAGAAGACTTTCAAACACTGTGCTTAGTAAATGCTTGTGTTGTTTGTGAAAACGTTGGAAATTTTAACAATTATTGATTTAGATCAAATTTCTTTTTTCTTTTTCCTTTTCTTTTTGGAGACAGAGTCTCGAGTCTCTGCTGACCTGGCTAGAGTGCAGTGGCGCAATCTCAGCTCATTGCAACCTCCCCCTCCCCAGCTGAAGCAATTCTCGTGCCTCAGCCTCCAGAGTAACTGGTACTACAGACACGTGCAACCACGCCCAGCTAATTTTTTGTATTTTTAGTAGAGACAGGGTTTCGCCATGTTGCCCAGGCTGGTCTCAAACTCCTAAGCTCAAGTGATCCGCCTGCCTCAGCCTCCCAAAGTGCTAGGATTACAGATGTGAGCCAACGTGCCTGGCCAAAATAAATTTCTTTATTGTAATTATAGTCTCATTTGAAATAATACTTAAATGTGTTCTAAATCTAAGATCCATTTAATCTATATTTGATTCATTAAAAAAGCATGGCACTGGCTGGGAGCAGTGGCTCATGCCTGTAATCTCAGCACTTTGGGAGGCTGAGGCTGGTGGATCACTTGAGGCCGGGAGTTTGAGACCAGCCTGGCCAACATGGCAAAGCCCCGTCTCTACTGAAAATACAGAAATCAGCCAGGCATGGTTGCGCATGCCTGTAATCCCAACTACTTGGGAGAATGAGGCTGGAGAATCGCTTGAGCCCGAGAGGTGGAGGTTGTAGTGAGCTGAGATCACGCCACTGCACTCCACCCTGGGTGACAGAGGGAGACTCTGTCTCTAAAAAAAAAAAAAAAAAACGCATGGCATTATGGGAGCCATGTAAATAATTACGAAACAAGATCCCTTCTTTTCCAGGGTATACACAGGAGGAGAAGATAGAGATTGCCCATAGGCACTTGATCCCCAAGCAGCTGGAACAACATGGGCTGACTCCTCAGCAGATTCAGATCCCCCAGGTCACCACTCTTGACATCATCACCAGGTTAGTGAGCCATCCTGAGGCTTCATTAATGAACTCCAGACACGTTTTGGGTATTTACGGAGTTACCAAACTTAGGACACAGAGTATCAATATTTGAATTTTTCATCTTTTGAGATAAGCCACAGTCTCTTGAAAAGGAGATTATTTTATTGGCATCCCATAGCATCCATTTATCTTTCTTCAACAACTTCCAGCAAGTGTTATCATAACTATTGATTTACACCATTCTCTGTACTAGGCAGAAGTTTACAGAGAAAGCATTTGGAATATTGTTATAGCTAAAGCTGAAATTTATGCTTTGTCACAATAGCAATATAAGGGGTTAATCAGATCATTTAAAAACCAAATACGTGGCAAATATAGAGACACTTTTTATGCCCAAGATCTTGAAAGTTTTTGAGTTCTAAGAGGTGATACGCTACTTTCAGAAAATCTGATATAAGTTACTCAGTTTTCTTTTCTTCTCTTTGGCTGAGAGATTTTTTAAATCCTTGGAATTTTGATCTTCAGAATTAACACTGGAACAATAGAGAAGGTGCCTTTCCCAGTTTACTACCAAATGCTTAAGCCTGTAGCAAGCAGTGTGTAAATTACCTGAATAGAGTATTGCTTAGTCTAATGTACAGATTCCCTGTTTGAATGGAAAATATACTCTGTTGAGAATTTATATCCACCACAGCCTCTTACAGTTTTCCTGGCTCAGTATTACAGATCCATTGCATCATCCAGCAAGTCATGTCAGGCTGCCAAGCTCTAGTCATGCGGCCCTTTTCTAGTAACTACTGTTTTTAAGAGATGTAAAGTATTTCTCTATTTTGAACTTTTACTTAGAGTTTGGCCAGACTGTCTTTTGATCTGTGCGTTCTTATGGGTCTATTTAGATTTATATACAAAACAGTAAGACTAAATCTTACCTGGGGGTTCCTTTTCTTAATTTGTTTTGTGATTTATGGTGTGGATAATGCCAGGAGAAATAAATTAAGTGACTTATATGCCTGAGTCTTCCAACAGTATCATTATTCCAGATAACACTCATGATGCCTTTGGGTAACTTTCAGTAAGTCATTAAGCTTTTTGATAGCTTCCCCATCTGTAAAATATGAGGGATGGAGAAAAACCCAGAGTTTATCTGAATAATAATGATTCTGAAGGGTGATCATTATTTATATTTCCCAATTGTTGCCTGGAGAACTATTTCTTTTTTTATATATACTTGTTAACTCAAAATATCAGATCTTAAAAGCTATGGACATAAGGAAATACTGAGCAGTTTTGTTAGTTTTGATATTGTTTTTAAAAACAGCACAAGTATGTACTACTCCAGGCACGTTTTGGGTATTTAGTGAGTTACCAAACTTAGGACATAGAGTATCAATATTTGAGTTTTTCATCTTTTGAGATATGTCACAGTCACAGACCCTAATGTTCTAGTCTTTCTTATCTCCAAGTATAACTCACCTACTTGAATACTTCCAGTCCCAGTATGCTTAATGCTAGCTAATCACTACCTCTTCATGGGTAATTCTAATCGTAACAAAGATAATTATTTTTATTATTTTTTTAAGACAGGTTCTCATGCTGTTACTCAGGCTGGAGTGCAGTGGCGTGATCTTGGCTCACTGCAGCCTCTGCCTCCCAGGCTTAAGCCATCTTCCCGCCTAATCCCCCAAGTAGCTGGGACCACAGGCGCATGCCAGGCATGATGGTGTGCACCTGTAATCCCAGCTACTGAGGAGGCTGAGACAGGGGAATTGCTTGAACGAGGGAGGTGGAGGTTGCAATGAGTCGAGATCGTGCCACTGCACTTCAGCCTGGGCAACAGAGTGAGACTCCGTCTCAAAAAAAAAAAAAAAAAAATTAGAGATGGGGTCTCACCATCTTGGCGAGGCTGGCCTGGAACTCCTGAGCTCAAGTGATAGTTGTTACAAAGATATTCTTTCTGTTCACTTTTCTATAATTTTCTTCTTCTGCCTTATATGAGCACCTGGAATCTAAGTGTAATTCCTCCTTGTACAGCCCTTCTGACATTAAAATAAAATACTATCAGGTCTGCAGGCTAAGTGTTCTCTTCTTCAAGCTAACCATTCCTCTCCTCTGTACCATTCCTCTTGATGTAGTTTCAAGACTTCCTAATTAGTCTTCTTCTGAAAGAATCCTGTATATCAATGTGTATTAAAATTAAACACCCAGAGTTGAACACAATGTTTCAGATAGAGTCTAAACAGTTCATGGTATAGGAAGATCATGCTTTTCTTATTCTGACTATATTATTTTATGACTGTATCTCTAGATTCTTAGCTTTTTAAAGATTATTCTCTTCCCTTTTTCAGTGACTTTCACTAAGCTTGGCATATCCTATTTTGTATTTATGGAGCTGAATTTTTTAAAGCCCAAATGTAGAAGTTGTTAAGATGCCTCCCTGTTTCCTCCCTTATTGAAATTATGTGTAGTTGCATAATATAGACTTTATATCCTTCTGTACCTTTGACTGAAATGAGTTTTAGAGTGTTTAACTAAGAGCTTTTTATCTGTCTTTTCTCAGAACTTTTAAAATCTGCTTTCGTAAAGTCTACAGTGTATGTCTGACTTAATCAAATGTATGGCTTAGTCAAATCCATTTCTTCAGATAAAACTGCATTCTCCACCTGATCCTGTCCATTCAGGTCCATCCAAAACTGAGTGGCCAAAAATGGTTTCACTGTATAATGGTCTGTGGAATGTCTTAATGGAGTTTGATTCTAATGTACATGTGTTTAAAGCAGCTCTGCTTAACCACACGTAGAGTCTTTTTCACAGTGTCACAGTGCTTTCATCACTTAGCATACCTTCTTCCTTTAGAAATCTTCACAATGAAAATACACTGAAGAAAGGTGGTTAGCAAAGTGCCTAGTGAAAACCAGATTTCTGTCTCAGATTTGTTTTTGTTTTAGTTCCACAAAGAGCACAATTTGTCTTATTCTTTCAGCAATATTTCAAATACAATAAATTTATCTAGAATTTTCCTAAATTGACAAATTTTGTTTAAGAAAACTCTTCAACAAATTACCGAGGAGTAAATGGTTTTTTTGTATGGTGCCAACTTTACTTTGGCAATGTAAATTGAACTAGAACTAGGGTTCATTTTTAAGTGTAGGATTATAATTCAAAATAATCTGTATAAAGGACATTGTTGTAGCTGAAAATACATCAGAATACTGAAGAAATAACAATAATGAGGAGTTTTAAGTGTAGAAAAGCTAGTACTCAAGAAAGGGTAATGAACTTTTAAATGTACACCGTTTCTTTACTAAAAATGTTAATCACATTACTTCTATTTTTTTTAGGTGGTGTATAGTCAAAAATAATATATTTTTCTTTGATGACAGGTATACCAGAGAGGCAGGGGTTCGTTCTCTGGATAGAAAACTTGGGGCCATTTGCCGAGCTGTGGCCGTGAAGGTGGCAGAAGGACAGCATAAGGAAGCCAAGTTGGATCGTTCTGATGTGACTGAGAGAGAAGGTTGGTGACCTTGTTCTGGCATTCTCAGGCCTAGTGGCTAGGAGTGAGTGACAGAAGAAGGTTGCGTATGGAGGGGAAGGTGTTGGGTAGTCCTTGGAGCAGTGACACACATGACTCCACTGTTAAATGCATCCAGTAAGTAATACCTTAATGTTTCAACGTGTTTCATCAAGAGGATTGTCTTTTACAAATAGCACAGTTTTAACTGGAGTAATACTCAATATGAATGCTTTGAGGATATAGGAACTGTATTAGGGTTCGCTAGAGGGATAAGACTAATAAGATAGATGTGTATATGAAGAAGAGTTTAAGGAGTATTGACTCACACAATCACATGGTGAAGTCCCACAGTAGGCCATCTGCAGACTGAGGAGCAAGGAAGTCATTCCGAGTTCCAAAACCTCAAAAGTAGGGAAGCTGACAGTGCAGCCTTCAGTCTGTGGCTGAAGCCCCAAGAGCCCCTGGCAAACCACTGGTACATTCTAGAGTCCAAAAGTTGAAGAACTTCGAGTCCGATATTCGAGGGCAAGAAGCATCCAGCACGGGAGGAAGCTGAAGGCCAGAAGAATCAGCAAGTCTGATCCTTCCAACTTCTTTTGTCTGCTTTATTGTAGCCATGCTGGAAGCTGATTAGATGATGCCCACTCAGATTGAGGGTGGGTCTGCCTCTCTCAGTCCACTGACTCAAATGTTAATCTCCTTTGACAATATCCTCACAGACACACTGGAACAATACTTTGCATCCTTCAGTCCAAACAAGTTGACACTCAATATTAACCATCACAGTAACTTTCTCCAGATGTATAATGATGGTGTATATTATGTATGGGTTCTGGTGTTATCTTATTTCTTTCTGACCCAGATAGTTAAGTCTTTAAATAATTCATAACATAAAAAGTTTTTACAACGTTAGAAAATCCATGCTGTTCAAGTACTGCAAGGGCAGACCTTTGTACTCTGGAATAGCTCCATGTGTAATAATTTTTCACACATTTTCTTTTACAGATAAACAAATAAATGTAATTATTATTTAAAAAATTATTGTGGAGGTGTTCTATTACTGTAATCAATCAAATGTGGACGTTCCTTTGGTACCCACTTAAAATATTTTAACGGCCGGGCACAGTGGCTCATGCCTTTGATCCCAGCACTTTGGAAGGTTGAAGTGGGCAGATCACTTGAGGTCAGGAGTTTGAAACCAGCCTAGCCAACATGGTGAAACCCCATCTCTACTAAAAATACAAAAATTAGCCGGCCGTAGTGGCAGGCATCTGTAGTCCCAGCTACTCCGGAGGTTGAGGCAGGAGAATCGCTTGAGCCCAAAAGTCAAGAGGTTGCAGTGAGCAAAGATCATGCAACTGCACTCCATCTAGGCAACAGAGTGAGACTCCATCTCAAAAAAATAAATAGGTAAATAAAATAAAATGTTTTAATTTCTTGCCCCAGAACTGTAAGGGGTCTCAGTTCATCGTATCATGCTGTTATGCAGTTTGCCAAAATTTGCTTTAACAAACATGAGTTGGCCAGGCGTGGTGGCTCAAGCCTGTAATCCCAGCACTTTGGGAGGCCGAGGCGGGTGGATCACGAGGTCAAGAGATCGAGACCATCCTGGCTAACA